GTTCAAACTGAATTTGAAGTACCTATGGAATATTTAATTAGAGCTATCCAGTAAACATTTAGGGATGTAGAGTCCAAGAGAGAGGTCCTGGCTACAGATGTAGTTTTGAGTCATCAGGACACAGAGAACATAAATCTCAGTTCATAAAGTCAGTTATGAGCATGAGATTTAGATCCAAATGGCTTAGGTTCAAATCATGAGTCCTTTCCATTTTTGTGATCTTGTGCAAAATACTTAACTGTTCTCTGCTTCAGTTGCTCCATCTGTCATCATGTATTCTATAATACCTACTTGAGGGTTCTCTGGAGTTATTACTCATAATACATTAAATAGGACCTGGCTTTTTGAAGGGATTAAAAACATTAGTTTTGCATAAGAAACGTAACTTTCTGTTTCTATAACTCTATTTTGATTTATTTATATATCCCCAGTGTCTAGAACAGTGTGTGGCACATAATAGGGGTTCAATAAATAACTGTTGAAAAATAAACGAGCTACTTTCTCATCCGAAATTCCATTCTGGAAAGGTGGCAAAAACCTAATCTCCAGCACATCTCTCTCCAACTTTGTTGAGGTTGCATTTAAATTCCTTGATGAGTATGTAGTACTTGGTCATCAAGGCAGAGGTGGTGCAAGATGATGGAAGCAACCAGTCCTCCAGAATATGTGCCAGAAGGATTACGTTGCCGGGTCTATCCTCCCAGCTGGTCTTTTTCCCTTTGGGTTTCTAGGAGACATCTTGTTCTCACCCATATTACACATCTCTTACTATACAGCAAATATGAACGGAGCATCTAACTATGTGCTTGACATGTTCTAGGGGCTGGGGAAACAGAAGAGGACAAGGTAAAGTTCCTGTCCTTGTGGAGTCCATGTTCACGTGTCTCCTTCTCGTCACACGGTCACTTTAGACTCTGAAGCCCCCTCTGCTACTCTGGTGCCATTTTGGGGTGGCATAGGGTACACCTGGCTGCTTCTGCAATATTCTGGCACCAGGAATCTTTGGAGGGTTGCCCATGGGCCACCTGCCTGGCAGGATTACACAGGCATTTTCTCTTTCTAGGTTATTTCACTCCCTTTGGTCTCACGTAGAGACCTTCTGCCCTCTCACTTACAGGCATCCCTGCAACTGACCTCCTTCCTTCCTCCAACCGAGGAGACTTTTATTTTTATACTAGTTGGAGAAAAGCTCCAGTCTGTTCCCACTTGTTGTCTCAGACCTTTCTGCCTCTACTGAAAACACTAAGTTTCTCCAAAGCTCTTGGAACAAAGAAACCAAAGACCTAGGCATATCTGCTGACTGCCTACCACATCTCTCTTTGGAGGAAGCACACTCAGAGTCACTCTCTACCTGCAAGGGCACAAGAAGAAAACTAAAAAAGACAAAACACAATCGCTTTACACATCAAACATTATTCTGTCACAGGCATGTCAATGACACCTTGAACCATGAAAGCAGATGAGGTTATTACATCATTGAACACTCAGGTTTACCAAGCCTCTACCCGGAGTTAATTTAATTTACTTATTTTCTTTTCTTAAAGGCTCATTTCCCTTAAATTGTTGGTTTTCTTTGTGTATTAAAGGTCAATATTTCATCACGAATTTTGTCTTAATTTATGTACTTATTTTGAAAGAGAGAGAGAGCGTGAGCAAGGGCAGTGCAGACAGAGAGAGAGTCAGAGAATCCCAAGCAGGCTCCATGCAGACAGCCATGACTCACCCCCAGGGGAGATCATGACCTGAGCCCAAACCAAGAGTCAGATGCTCAACGTACTGAACCACCCAGGCGCCCCATCACTACAACTTTTTAAATATTTTTTCACTTACCCTTTCTTCCTTCCTTTCTTTTCTTGAGACTTTCACCTGGGCTGCAAGGAAGCCGTGGGATGAGCAACACCTGGGTGCCCTGGCCCAGAGACTTCCCGTCCCAGAACCACCAGAGGAGTCTGGTCCATGCCGCCTACGAAGCAAACTCCAGCCCTTCTCATTGTACCTGGCCTTCCGCGCTGAGTCACCACGTGGCAGCGGCGTCTCCCCTCAGGGACCCGCCAGGCCTGGAAGTCAGCTCTGGCGGAATCGCTGCGGCGGCGCACGGTCGGGATTGCCCCAGGCCAGCAGCGCAGGGAGTGAACTGCGCATGCGCCAGCTGCAAGGCTCATCTACGCAGATGCCAAAGGTCGCTTACTTTCTCATTAAATTCCATACCTCTATTCCCTTTAACATGACTGGGGTTTTTGTGTTTGTTTTGTTTTGTTTTGTTTTCCCTGATGATTTGCTTCCCCAGCCCCACTCCCAGGTTTTCTACTTATAAATTTGAGTAAGTTCAGTTACCTAGCAGGTGACTTCTTAAGAGTGCTTAAAATTCTTAACCTCAAGCCATTTTCTAGAGTTTGTGATAGTCTCAGTTTTCAAGAGTGTTTTTACCCCTCCCTGTTCTGTAGCGCCATCACTGAAGAATGCCTAAGCAACGTTAAAGATCTAGTTCTTGGCTTTTCCTTTCGTAAATGAGGTAATTGGGGGTCAGTAAGCTTGCCCAGAGCTGTAACCAGTTGTAGTGAATAGTTGGAACAACAACTCAGGGCCCCTGCTTTCACCTGAGGATGAACTCCAATGTGCCAGATGGCCACCGGTAAAATCACTGAAACTAAAATAACAACTCTCCTTTTGTGGCACACATCGAAATGACATCTAGATTAACATCTTGAAATGTTCAAAAAAAAAAAAAAAAGAGCAATGTGAATGCAATTATAGCAATGTTACCCCATCCTTCCAGCATGTGAACGGGTATCATAGTCACTTGGCAGAGGCAAAGAGCATAGTGATGGCTAGTGGATGTATGGTGCTGACACCTGCTGGCACCTTCATACTGATATAAACTCAGTCCTCACAGAAACTTCCTGAGATTGATAATATTATTCTTCTCATTCTTCAGATTAGCAAACTAAGATGCAGAGGGTAAAATGTGTTCAAGTCCATGCACAGGCAAGGCATTGAGCTAGAATTTGATCTCAAACTGGTTCCAAGCAATTCTGCTATGTTTCACATTACCTCATCATAAGAGGGTTTTATTCATGATCAAAAACTACTACTATGTTTAATTGCCTTTTAAATAATATTTCAAATTAAAGATTCAGTTCCTGAGAAGGAAATAATACAAAATCTATTAAACCACAAAGCAACAGTTGTTACCAGGTAAGTTAATTGGTTATAAACTAATTTCTCTGTCAGTGCTTGCTAAAGGAGAGATGGTTAACAAATTAGATTTTTTTTTCTTCATTGCAGTCTTTTATCATCTAATTACACTAATGACAAAGGTAGTTGGAGACTTTTTAAAAGATTTATGTCATCTAAGACATCTAACACTTATAGAACAAACTGTTTAGGCACTTTGGTGGGAGACAGTGTCCTATTCCACTAGCATAGGCAAGAGGCCAGACCCTGGCCATCTCCAGGGCATAGCCATATGAGATCCCTTAACCATGCTGAAAGAGTGGCACAATGAAACAAGGTCAGTTCAATACCTTCGTGGTGCTATTGTTGGCTTCTAGGTTTCTCCAATGGGATGCCTTTTCCTGTAGAGTGATTCTGGCTCTGTTCTTCCACTTTACATAGAGTAAATTTCTGTTGTTTGTAACCAAGAACTATGATTTGACGAAGGCATATAATCCTTGCTTACTGAATACTGTCTCTTGTATAATATGACATTAGGATCTGTTTGTCTCACTGCTTGATATTCAGGGCTCAGGTGCTGTGAGATACTGGCTTTCTTTATTGTCACTTCCAACAGCAAATATAAAATTTGTCATTTTCATATATACATTTCCCAGAAGGTAGCTTTAGTATATCATAATGTATTTCCACTTCTCACCTTTATTCACATCTTATTTCTTGGAAGCTGATGAAGGCTCAGTCAAAAAATTTTAGCTTAACTCAGACAAGTTCAAGAACAAATAAACTACTGAAAAGCAAGTCCTAGACTGAATCACTAAATTCTAAATTCTAAGAATTCCACTGTATTCTTACACTATATGTTTACTAGCTGGAATTTAAATAAAATCTTGAAAGAAAAAGTAAGTCCTAGATAATGTTGTTTGGTAGAGCTTTTTATTTGCTTTTTTTAAAAAATTATTTATTTTGACAGAGAGAGAGAGAGAGAGAGAGAGAGAGAGAGGGTGAGAGTGAGAGGGAGCAGGGGAGAGGCAGAGAGAAAGGGAGAGAGGGAATCCCAAGCAGGCTTGGCACTTTCAGCGTGCCAAGCCTAACATGAGGCTTGATCTCATGAAACATGAGATCATGACCTGAGCCGAGATCAAGAGTCTGACATTAACCAGCAGACTCACCCAGGCACCCCTATTTGCTTGTTTCTATTTTTTAAAGAGGAGACTATCCATGTAGCTCAAAATCATTTTTCCCCTAAATGTTTACCCATGTTACACTCTCATGTTCATGCTTTCACATGAATATCTTAAAAACAAAACAAAGAGGAAAGAAAAGTAAATACATTCAGTCTTTTAAGAAAAATGTCATAGCATTTATTTATACAGATAGGATTCTTAAGCAAATTAAACAAATTATCAAATAATAAATTATCACACAAATTATGTTATCATATATATATAAAAAAAACCTTCTTAAGAGGAATCAATTTAAGTAGAAAAAGTAAAAGTCCAAGAAATTGTTCCAGAATCTTATTTCCTGTGGTGGCTTTACCTTAGCTTATTTATATTTTTATTTTAATTTAGATGACCCAATAATTTAAAAAAATATGAGTCAGTTGAGTACACTGCCACATTCCTTTTTTCTTTCTTTCTTTCTTTTTTTTTTTTTCCTGGAGTAGCAGTAAACACTCTTCTGCCCAAATTAATAATCCTGTCTAGGGTACACAAATAAATAACCAGTAATATTATTTTTGTTTGATTTGTGTAGATTCTTTATGAAAGAAACATGTCATCATAGTTCCATCCCAATAAGTATGAAGGGTCAAAAGATATTTCTTATTTTGAGTTTCTGTTTTCTGTTTTGACCTATATCTGTACTTATGTTGGTAATTGTTTTTCATAATGATGAGGTTTTTGGGGTGACGGTGGGGCTGCGGGGTCCGGAGCCGATGACTGAGAGAATTCTTGAAAACGTCTTTGCTGCAAAAAAAGTGATTTTATTTATTTTTTTTAAAGTGATTTTATTAAAGCACGGGGACAGGACCCGGGGGCAGCAAGAGCTGCCCTGGGACCATGAGGAGAGACTGGTTCTATACTATGGAATTCGGAGAGGTAAAGTCCAGGGGAAGTTTCCAGTGAGATTTCCATATGCTAAAGAAGACTCCCAGGATAGTGGAGGCCTAGCTATTGTCCGGCTAAGGTTGTTTCCCTCTAGCAAGGCGTTAGCATTAAGACAGAGGGAGTTCCTGGAGCAACGTTTTACTCTGCCAGAATCAAGTATTTGTCAATGTTATAAGGAAATTGAGTTTTATCTGCCGTTTCCTTCTGCCTTTATTTCCCACATCACTATGGAGGGGTGATGTTAGGGCTCCAGGCAACAGAGTCTATAGGTTTCTGGAGATTAGGCTATTGATAAGAATTTGTCAGTAGATGGAGACTATGGTCTCAGTTAACCATTTCTTTACCCCCTTTCCTTTGTTCTTGGGCAGCCAGGAGTGCCCAAGGAATGTCACACATATCCCACCTGGGGACAGGGCTGGGGGTGTTTGCAGCCTGTCAGCTTGCCTTATGCTCCCTCATCAATAATAGAAATTGCACTAGGAATAATCACATTTGTAGACTTATTATGCCTAACTTTTATCACATATATTGCAGTTAGCAAAGTCCATAATATTAGAACTGTAATTTTTAAAAGTTTTTGATTGTTGTATATTTACAATACTTGTTAGATTTTTAATACTACTAAAAAAGCATACTCGGGAATAAGTAAGACACTGAGCTATGATTTGATATTTCACATGGGTTTTTCACCTTATTCTGGTGACAAAGACTTTCATGTCTCATTTATTCATGTATTCAACAAGAATTTAATGAGTGGCTTCTGTGCCAGGCTTTGTTCTATGCAACACCATGAATAAACAAGTGTTGTGAAAATTTAATTTTAGTGGGGAGAGACAGAAAATAAATAATAAACATATAGTTAAGTAAATAACAAGTTTACTAGGAAGTGATAAAAGCCACCAGGATAAGGGGGTTAGACGTGCATTGGGAAAATGAGCAGCTTGCATTTTAAACTGGGGCAGTTCAAGTTGAGTTCAACTGTAACTGAACCAACATGAGTTTGCTCCTTGTTGAGTCAGGAACTATACCAGATTGAATTGTCCACAAAGAAAATTTGCTTACAGCAAATGAGATCAGGGGAATGGCTTCCAAAGCCATGACTCCCTGAGAGAGGGTGAATGGGTTCCTTCTGTTTAGGGTTAGGGTGAATATTTAGATAGGGAAGCTTTGTCATTGTATGCAGAAGCAGGCATAAGGTCACACATGTGCCTTAAGGAAACATGCCTATACATACATTGTGTGTTTTGTCAATGAGGCTGGTGGTCCTCCTTGGGCAAAGATTTTAGAATTATAATGAAGTAAAGGTAATTGTAGGTTATTCCAGAGGTCACTCCATGGCCCATCTGTGCAGGCTTGGATCAAGTTTCTCTCAAAGGGTCTGGGCAGTCTGGACCAGCGGGAGGTCTTGTCAGGGCAGTCACCATCACTGGAACATAGTTTCTGGTTTCATCTCCCTGAGTTAAGAGGAAAGCCAAAAAGAAGATCTTAGGGGGAAATGTAAGACAAAGGTTAGTGAGTACAAGAAGGTGGGCAGTAAAGGCCAGGTCCTGAGGTCTAGCTGGTGATACAATGAGAAGGTGAGATTTTAGCATAATGTGAGGTGGTGCAGAGTCAAATGGGGTGAGTGTTTGGAATAAAAGTAACTCAGTTCTGACGTAAGAAACAGGCTGTGCAAATTTACTGGGGCGCGAATATAAGGACTACGAAGGGAGCTGGTATGGTAGGAGCTGAGTGAAGGAGCAAGACAAACAAACGAAGAGAGAGGAAATGGGCCAGATTACACAGGGTCACTAGTGATGTGACTGGACTCACTGATCTGACTCAAGCTTCTAAAAGATGACTTTGCATTGTGAGAATATATTTTTGGAGAGGAAAAAGTCCAGGAGCAGGGAGTCCAATGAAGAGGCTATTGCAATAGTCTAAATTAGAGATGATTACAGGGCCAGGTAATGAAAACTAATCAAGTTGTGGACATATTTTGAAGTCGGGGCCAACACGCTTTGCTGACCACTGGGAGTGGGATGTGAGAGAGATGTCAGCTCCAAGGTATTTTGGCCTGAGCAAGTAATAATATGTCTTAGATACTCTATAAGGGAAATAGATATAGGTATGTTACATTCATTTCAATAGCCATTTAATGTGCCATAGTGTGGGTGCATCATAGTTGATCTATTTTCTCAACGTTTATTTATTTTTGGGACAGAGAGAGACAGAGCATGAACGGGCGAGGGGCAGAGAGAGAGGGAGACACAGAATCGGAAACAGGCTCCAGGCTCTGGGCCATCAGCCCAGAGCCCAACGCGGGGCTCGAACTCATGGACCGTGAGATCGTGACCTGGTTGAAGTCGGACGCTTAACCGACTGCGCCACCCAGGCGCCCCATCTATTTTCTTACCAATGGACAGTTAGTTACTAGATTTTTCTCTAACACTATAAACAATGCTTCAATAAAAAGTTTTTAGGTAGAGTTGAAATAATTCTGCAACTTTTAAAAGTACCTGCCACATTATCCTTTATTTATACAGTGCCTGAGGAATATTTGAAATGTGATTAGTTTCTGATTAATAATGTTTCATTAGTTTCAAAGAGAGAATTCACTGACCAAAATGGCCTTAATGTTTTCTTCATCTTGACTAATCTTTAGACAGGCTTCTTCCTGGCTATAGACACCTGGCTCCCCCTTTGTTACAGCATTTACTTTAGAAAACTTGTCATTGTAAACCTTTTCTCTGCCCCTTTGAGATGTAAATCTTTCTAAAAGCCTCTTGCCAGTTTCACAACTCAGGAATGTCTCTCCTAAAGGACCTGAGAACCATCTCTTTGAAATGTAATCATGAAGGAAACAACAAACCCTCTCCCCCCACCCCCGCCTTTTCCCAATCTCCTAAAGAGAGTGTGAGCCTAATTTGGCAGGTGCCATGATTCACACTGTAAAACTACCTCCTGCCTTGAGGATAGGAGAGAGTGTACCTTTCCTTTGGGTAGAGTCAATTAGTGAACACAGGTGGGTTATCATCCCTTCATTCCAGCTCCTAAAACCTCTCTAGCCTTTTATTTCAGTGGCATTGAATTCAAACTTTAGTTCTGGCCTCTCTTATCGCAATAGGTTTTCTTAAAAACATTTCTTACAGTTATACAAATCAGGACTACAATTATATATCACCTTACACCTGTTAGGATGGCTATTATGAAAGAGACAAGAAATAACAAATGTGGGCAAAAATATGGAGAAAGGTAACCCTCGTACACTGTTGGTGAGAATGTATATTGGTAGAATCAATATAGAAAAAAGTATGGAGTTTCCTTCAAAAATTAAAAATAGAACTACCCTATGATCCAGCAATCCCATTTCTGAGTATATCTCAGAAGAAAACAAAATCAGTATCTCAAAGATATATCTGTATCTCAAAGATATATTTTGTTCATTTCATGAATGGCTAAATTCATTGTTGTATATATACACAATGAAATATTATTCAGCCGTAAAAAAGAAGGAAATCCTGCCATTTGTGAATAATATGGATGAAACTGGAGGGCATTATGCTAAGTGAAATAAAATAAGCCAAAGATAAATGTATCGTATCACATATGTATAAAATCTAAACAAACAAAAGTTGAACTCACAGAAACAGAAAGTAGAAATGGAGTTGTCAGGGTCTGGAGGTTGAGCGAAATGGGGAGATAGAAGTTTAGAGGTGATGGTGGGGTGTTTGGAGCCAAGGGCCAAGATAGAATTCTTGAAAATGTCTTCGGTGCAAAAAGGTGATTTTATTAAAGCATGGGAACAGGACCCAATGGGCAGGAAGAGCTGCATGGGGTCATGACAGGTAACTGATTATATAACCTCAGGTTGGGAGGGGGTCAGGGATAGAGTAAGTCTCTAAGGAATTTTGGAAGCAAGGATTCCAGGACCTTGAGGGGCTAGCTGTTTATTACTGTTTAGTAAAACCTCAGTCATGAGACCCTTCAGATGTATATCAGGGGGCCATAAGCTTGGAGTATGATTTCCAGCATATATCTTGGGGGGAGTTGAGATAAAGGAAGTAAGTCTCCAAAGGAAACTTTCTATATGTTAAAGTAGACTTACAGGATCCTGGGGGTGTGGGGGTCAGGATAGTTTGCCACTATCCAAAGTGTCATCATCAAGGTAGCTGACTGAACTCTTAGAGGGCGGTCACTCAGCCTGTTTGAAGGACTTCTCAATGGGCTGCAGGCAGTAAGGGGATTTAATTTCTTGTTTGCCTTAGTTTCCCACATCACTATGACAAGCACTTACACCCATTTCCTTTGTTCTTAGGTAGCCAGGAGTATCAGAGGAATTATCACTCCATTCCCTCCTGGGGGCAGGGTGCTAGCTTGTACTTTGCCCTCAGCTTGCCCCACATTCCCTGCTCAGTGATCAAAAGTTACAAAATTTCAGTTAAAAACAAATGAATCCTGAGAACCTAGTGTCCAGCCTGGTGGCCATAGTTAATAATACTGGATTGTGGGGGCGCCTGGGTGGGTGGCTCAGTCGGTTGAGCGGCCGACTTCGTCTCAGGTCATGATCTCGAGGTTCATGAGTTCGAGCCCCATGTCGGGCTCTGTGCTGGCAGCTTGGAGCCTGGAGCCTGTTTCAGATTCTGTGTCTCCCTCTCTCTGACCCTCCCCCGTTCATGCTCTGCCTCTCTCTGTCTCAAAAATAAATAAACGTTAAAAAAATAATACTGTATTGTGTTGTATACATCAAATTTGCCACAAGAGTAGTTCTTAGGTGTTCTCATAAAACAACAACAACAACAACCAATCAAATATATGACATAGTAAATACAATTAATTTAATTAACTTGACTGTGGTAATCATTGCATAATGTATACATATGTCACATCATGACTTTGTACACTTTAAACACAATTTAATTTGTCAATTATGCTTCAATAATGTTGGAAAAAATTTTAAAAATAGAGACTTCCTTGCCCGTTTAACTTTGTCCAGTGGAGTCACACATTTCTCAAGGTCAGAGTTGAGAACTTCCTCAGAAAGGAAATATCATCACCCTAATGTTAATACCCTACCTTGATCATTTCACTTTCTGTCTTTTCCTGTACCATTTCCAGGAAATGATCATATTGAAGGCTTTCATTTAAAAAGAATTATGAATATAGTATAATCCACATCTATGGAGTAAAGAATAGCCTTACATTATAAAATTCCTCAGAAAAAAAAAAAAATAGTGTCCAGAAGTGATTATTCAGTAAATAGAGTGAGCCAGGATCAAAATTTCTGCTTCAAGAATGATAGTTTATTATTATTAATTCACGATCATTTATATATCACTCCTGTGTCGATGCTTTGAAAATAAAGCTAAGAGTGCCTGGAAATATTATTTAAATGTACTCTCAAACCATATTGCTCAAAACTTAGCATCTACTCAGAATATTAGTATCTATGCAGTTACTCCACTATTTTGGTTATTGGAGAAAGAAATGTACAAAATCTGTATATAAGCTCTATGTGGCTTTAAAAATGTTAAATTTTAGACTGTAATAACTCAGGTTGTAGAAATTTTAACAGAAATAGTAGAAACCATCTGCAACCATTATTTAAAGGCAAACGGCTTCTTAGTTATAAGGGCCCTAATACATTTAATTTTTATTCTTATATTGAATACACTGTACTGCATTGTGAAATATGGCAGCCCTGTATGTAATAAGTTGCTTTTAGATATTATTTACAAATTTATTCGAAAACAGCTGTAACTAAACTGCCTCCTTTTTAAAATTTCACAATATTTCATGTACGTATGAACACATTCTGTAATTCTTCCTTCATTTGTGAGAGGAAGAGCTAGTCACTAAGAAATAAAAATCCATATAAAAAGTATAAAGTAAAAAATTAGAGTTCCGGAAATCATTTTGTGCCCGACTGGGTGCTCTGTGCAACCAGCCAAGTAACACAATGTTAAAACCAAGGGGCCCAAATTGCTTTTGCTCTTTTAAAGTGAAGGTTACATTTGTAATCATTGTCTCACGGTATTTTTATAAACCGGAGTTGTTAAAATGTTTCCTCACAAAACTCAGGGACCTTTTACACAAACAATAAATGTTTTGTTTTCAAAATACAAAGTTTATTTTTGAAGTAAAGGTTTATGTTCCATGAAGTCTCTGAGCCCGAGAATGCTTTCAGCTCTGGGAAATTCTTGTTGGAGCCCAGAAGTAGCTGCCAAGAAGCACCGAAGCACCCTCCTGGGTGTGACATTCCCAGCTTGATGACTTGAGGGTTTAATTTAGTTATATGGTGCTCTTCAAAGTGATTTTGTAGCTTTGGGTAGGAAACTGAAACCAGAGTTACTGAGCCTCAAATAAGTGAAATTTACACTTAGGAACACTGGAGATTGCTATAGTCATTTTCAGGGTGAAAAAAACTTAACCACTGACATCAAATCAAAAGTTAAAATGTAGAAGTTTTACTCTGTGGTTTAAAAAAATACCAATGAATAAACTGACTTCAGCTCATAGGCAGAATTATTGGCAAGTGATTTAATTCAGGTCCTGTTGACTGTCTATTAACAATTAAAATAATTTGCTTAATTTGAAGGAAGACTTGCTAGAATAATACAATTCTTTCTTTCTTTACCTAGTTAAAAGATAATTGCTGATTTCTGCATTCAAATAGTATCTGTCCAGTGACCTCCAGTGGCATTTCATTCAAAATCTCACTAGATCATCCAGGATGACACTAAAGGAAGAAAACACAAAAGAATTTTGAAGGAAAACACTCGCAGATAAACTAATTACTGCTAATTATGAACCAGAATTGAGAACACAGCCCACTCATTCTTCTGTTTTTGGCATTACTGGCTTTGTTATTTGCAATAGAGATAGGTTGGAAAAGTATCAGAAAGCTGGAACCTTATCTCTATCTGCCTCTTGGGTGCTCATCTGTAAACTGGGACAATGGAGAGAGTGTTGCTGCCTCTGCCCTTGTTTTGCCCTCACAAATATGCAAGTTCGTACAGAGACTCCAAATTGCACACAATTCAAAAAAAATTTCAAAACTACAAATGCTAAACATTTGTAGGTTAATAACAAGGAAACATTACAACATCAGCATCAAATCTGTCCTTTGAGCAATGTATATACTCATTCACTGTACTATCATCATATGAGAGAATAAAGAATACAAGAATTTAGGAGGAGATAAGTCAAAAAACCTACAGAAAGTGGAGGAATAGAAATTAGGATAACTTGATTGATAATCAAATTTTCTCATAAAAAATTTATAAAAGATAAATTTTCTTCAAGTATTAAGGTAAACATACAGAAACAGAAGTCTAAATATGAACTTATTTATTAAAAATAAACTTAAGGGGCATCTGGGTGGCTCAGTCAATTTAACTTCTGACTCTTCGGTTTTGGCTCAGGTCATGATCTCATGGTTCGTGAGGTCAAGCCCCACATCAGGCTATACACTAACAGTGTGGAGCCTGCTTGGGATTCTCTCTCCCCCCACCCCCACCACCGCCCCTCTCTGCTCCCTCTCTCACACAAAATAAATAATAAACTTAAAAAATAAAAAATAAACTTAAAATCTGATTTAGAGAAGGTACAAACAAAATGTAGTTCTTCCAGTAGTTTGGAAAGTTTATGTGAGATCGATTTTTATAAGCTTCACTATATTTGCGTAAAGAAGCGATAGAGCGCTCAAATAGGTTTCTATTTTCTGAACACCATAAAATGTTAAAGAATTATCTTTGAAATAGATGATTTTGCTAGAAAATTTATCAAAACTTTGACAAAGACAATATTAGTTGTCTATTCAAACGTTGTGTGAGCTGCTACATAAACAGAGAAACCCTCACAGTGCAATTTCTGAAACCGAACTAAGTATAAAACTTGACCAAGATAACGTAATGAGGAGTTCTAAATAATGATTTTAATTTTAGAGTCCTATCTTAAATAACAGTAAATTTTATTTCATAAAATAGTACAAAAATAACACAGCACGACTTAGTAAGATGGTTTCATTGCTCTGAGAGAGGACAGTGTGTAGGAAACTAGTCAGTCTCCAAGAACTTGGTGTTTGCAGCTTTGACTTACTGAGGAGTTTGGTGTATTTGTGACTGTAGAAAAACATAGCCAATCTTATGTGTGCAATACTTAACAGAAAACTGTATAATGAAGTTTTAGTTCTTCAGCTAGCATAAGCAGATACATTTATTCATCATAGTGGGAAATCAAGATGAAGTTCCAAGTATCTTTAAAACTTTAGTACAAAATAATCTTCATACTTTTAAATAACGTAAAAATATTTTTATACAATTAAGAGTATTGAAGAGCGTCTGGGTGGCTCAGTCGACTAAGCATCTGACTCTTTTTTTTTTTTAACATTTATTTATTTTTTGAGAGACAGAGTGTGAGAGGGAGAGGGGCAGAGAGAAGGGAGCCACACATTCCGAAGCAGGCTCCAGGCTCTGAGCTGTCAGCACAGAGCCCGACATGGGGTTTGAACCCACCAACTGTGAGATCATGACCTGAACCGAAGTCGGATGCTCAACCAACTCAGCCACCCAGGAGCCCCAAGCATCTGACTCTTTTTCAGCTCAGGTCATGACCTCAGGGTTCATAAGATCAAGCCCTGTGTTGGCCTCACTGCTGGACACAGACTCTGCTTAAGATTCTGTCTCTCCCTCTCTGTCTTGCCTCCCCAGCCTCACCCATGTGCCCCCTTTCTTGCTCTTTCTCTCTCAAAAACAAGTATTGAGCCAAAAGACTTATCATTTGGGGGGAGGGGAAGCTTGAATCTTGCTTTATTCTTTAATATTCTAAGGGTGAAAAAATATAATAAAACCTACAGCACAAAATAGATTTATAACTATAAACAGATGCCAATTTTTTAAACTTCCATGAAGTAAATTAATTTTAAACATATTAAAATGTTTGTGAAAAACCTGTAAAATATATTTGTGTGAAGGTCAATTTATTTGTATTTTTTAAAATAAAAGTTTGTTCTCAAATTCTTGCTAAGTGCCACTGTTCTGAGAATTTTACATGGTTTACTACAACTAGCGATCACCAACAACTAGTTGCCCTTTCAGTCTCCTCCCCAAATATTCACAGGAAACTGGAGTTCAGAAAGATTTAGTAAGCATGCGAGTGTCACCCAGTTAATGATTAGAATGGTCAAGATTCAATCTCCAATAGCCAGCGAATCTGGATTCAAACCTTGCCTTCAGGGCCAGCATTGTGGGTATGTGACCTGTGTCACTGCACAGGGCTCCATACTCAGAAGAGCCCTGAGTTTAATGTTCTGCAGCTGCCATTTTGAAACTCTTAATTTTTGAACAGGAGAAGCTGCATTTTCATTTTGCCCAAGGCCTTGTGAATTATGTAGGTCATCTACCCTCACTTACTCACCACACAATACTGACTGTGTGTGTGCGCGTGTGTGTTACAAAATATTTGACCAAGATGGACATACTGTTCCCTCAGGTTGCCTAAATTTAATTAATTAATTACTTTTTTGCCGAAACTTTAGACAGGTTTTGCTTTCTTGCCTCAGGCCCCTAACTTCCCTTTTCTTGGAGCATTTCACTTTAGAAAACTTGTAATGGTAAATTCTCACTGTCCCTCTGAAATATAAATCTTGTAAAAGGCCTCTTGCAGGTTTTACAACCCAGGAACGTCTTCCCCAAGGACCTGGGAGCAATCCCTATGAAGTGCAATCATCAAGGAAGACAGTACCCCCTGTTGCATCCACGCGACTCCTGAAACAGAATGCTACGGGCACCAGTGACAGTTGCAACAAAGTTTATTACAATGAGAGGCAAGGCTGACCGATTGGGACCAACACTCTTGATAAGAGTGTGGCCCCGAACAGCCGGGGTACAGAGTTTTTAAAGCCGATCACATCGTTTTATCGTTATCTGGGAACAGAACAGAGAAACAGTTCCCAGATGAGTTAGAAACAGTTGCCAGATGAGTCAGAAACAGTTGTCGAATGAGGTGATTATTTTAGACTTTCTGCTGCTAAGTTGCAACCAGTGGATCTCCTTGACCTTGTCTCTGATGCTCTTTTTTGAGGTTTTGTTTCCTTCATTGGTAAAGCCTGATTCACAAGAGTATGAAGTATGATTTACAAGAGTAAAAGCAAGGTTGTTATCTTTTGACCTTCAGTGTCAGAACAAAGTTGTTATATTTCAAGCTAAGCGTTAGCCCTATAGTACAATTTAACCCTTACACCCGCTCTCCTAGTTTCTGTGGAAGATAGGAGGGAACATGCTCCAAGTTGTAAAACTACACATGTGGTGAATATAGGAGAAAGTTAACTTTCGTATTAGACAAAGCTATTTAGGAACACTTGTGGCCTACAATTCCCCATTCCAACACAAAAACTCTCCAACATTTTGTCTTAGCAGAGTTGTTTGGTATCCAGATATGGTCTCTCCTTTTTCCCCTAATGAAGCAATAGTTTCCGAATAAAATTACCTTTTTTTTTGCTTATCTCGTCTGGTACCACTTTTTCCATCAACATATTCTATGAGTTAACTTTAAGCTAAATGTTTTAGTTAAAGATGTATTGCCATAGTCTATTTAAGTCAAGTAGCAGACCATCATTAACAGCAACACAGCTGCACACCATTGTACGATGTTGCTAGAGCATGATTTACATGGTAAAGTCTACACTGTTGGGTGTTGAAGAATTTGGAAGTACATCAGTTTTGAACAAAATTGTTACAAACTTCCGTGCTGATAAATTCCTATGGAGTAAAATGTGGATAATTTCAAAAAAAATAAAATGTGGGGAGAAAAATATTAACAACATTTTCCAATTTATTTAAAAATACTATAATTTTTTTTATTTTGAAGTGACATATTGGCAATTATGTAAAAATCCTGTTTCTCATGATATTTTTTTCTTTCTTCAGAAGTTAAGTAAGTTAAATATAAAATTTGTTTGGAAGAACAAACAAGAAAGAATGAACAAGAAAACCCTGAGAACAACAACAAAAAGAGCAAGAAAGATGTTTTTAGCCTTGTCATACATTACTTTATACCATGAAACGTGTAATATTAGTAATGGCACATACTCAGAAAAACCAGGGAAAGTGAACAGAACATTTGGAAAGAGATCTAATTACATATGCAAGTTTACTAAATGATAAAGATGCTATCTCATATTAATGAAGGAAAGAAACTTTTCTCTAAAAAACCATATAAAATATGTAATTATATCTAACCTATGCATAATATATCACTATAAATTCCAAATGGATTATAGGTTTAAATGTAACAAATGATACCATACAAATATATTATAAGCATCATAAGAAACACAAGAGAAGTCCTCTCTGAGCTGAGTAGGGAAAGCTTTCCTAACCATTATTCTAAATCCAGGCCAGAATAGACATTGATGAATAGGACAACAATTAAAAAAGAAAATTTGGGGCATGCACACAGACACACACACATATTCAGAATGGAAAGAAAGTTTGTAGTGAGAAAAAAATATTTCAATTTATATTAGATTCAAAGTGTGATAGTCTTAACATACAAATAACTTCTAAAAAAAGAAGCATGAAACCAACAACTTTTTAGAAGATATAAGTTAGAAATATGGACAGAGGGATCATAAAAAATTGAATGCAAACAGCTATTAACCACATGATAAAATGATCACCCTGGCACGAAACAAAAGCAATACAAAGTGAAATTACAGGCGAATAACATTCTTCACCT